CTAAGTAAAGTCTTGTCCTTCCTTTAATGATTCAGAATTTTTGCCTCCTAAAACAAAAGGTCAGTTTAGTGAGTATGTTTGTATAAATTACCACAGTTGGTAAAAAATCTAAATCTGTTGATATTGTAAGAATGTGTTTTTACATTGTTCAGGTCAGTAACACACATTTTTGAGGTTTGAAGGCTATGTCTCCAATTTTAAGAAATTGTGCAGTATTTACTTTATTTGGTAATTATTTCTTGTCTCAATATCTTCATTTGACAAGAGTACCAGGACCATGTTTCCAGCTTTGCCTTGGTAACATTAAATATTCAAAATTATGTAGATAATGTTAACAAACATTTGCAATATATCTTCTTCTTAAATATGACCTATCTCTTACTTGAGGTGATAGGCTTATCCAATTTATTTTAAATTTCTAAACTGTAGTTTTTGTTATTATTCATATATCAGTGTTTGTTAAAAACTCACATTAGTGATGTTAGAGGGACATTGAAGTTTGCGCTGTTCTTCAACAATAAACTTCAGGTTATTGCAGATTGTATTTTATTTCAATTTTGTGCTGAGATTATTCACTGATATATAATTATATATATCTTAGATATTTAGATGTGTTTTATATCTAGTTTTCATAAAGGTTTACTTTATAGTCATTTTAGAGATTTCATTATACCAATAATATTTCTTATGAGTAAGAAGTTACTTTAGTCTTAATTTTCCAGGATAGCTTTTAATCATCAGCTGATTTACATTATGTTACTATGTGTGTTTAGAAATCAGTCTCATTCACTGGTAAAAAGTAGTTTATCTTCCCCAAGTAGGGACATACCCAAATAAATTAAGTGGTAAATTATTTACTTTTAACATTTTATAAAGTAGAATATATATAGATATATGTTAAGTGTATAAATCCTAAGTATAAACAACTTAATGTTCATAAAGTGAACATAAAGGTCCTATATACATAACACAGATCTTACTTGCACCAGTAGGACCACATAATTTACTGTTGAAAATATATACTTTATAATTGATATTTTCTCAGAGCTAACACTAAAGAAGCTATTAATGTCATTTCTGAAAAGAGTGAGTATATAATTGTTTATATTAATAACACTGTCTAATAATGGTGCACAGTAATTGCATATTGAATTTGTAGAGTTTCTAGACTCATGCTTCAAAAGATTGAATTTTGATATTCCCATACTTGAAAAGTGAAATTTTAAAATGTTTACAAAAATAGCTTCTAAAATTTTTATTGAAATCTACATTAATAATCCAGTATTTTAAGATGTGGGTTACTTAAATATTGTCTGGTAAAACATTAAGAAATGGAGGCCCGTGGTTATATTTCTTTGTCATATCTGCAGATGTTTCAATCGCATTCTCCTGAACATTTCCTAGCTTTAAAAATTATGTAAATAGGTTAGCCATTACCTTCACCAACTATTCAGTATTAATAAAATTTTATGTGTTCTATCAGTAATTTGATGAAATAAAGCAATGATTTTTCTGTATTTCACAACACATCAGGGCTCTGCAAAGTATCTCTGGGGGTCCTTTGATGTCTAGACAGTTTAAATTATGCTTGCTCCCCTGCCTCCAAATTCCACCCCTGTTCTGCTTCAGGGGTTGTGGGAAACAAAAACAAACCAGAAGGGTTCCACAGCCCTACAGTCTAGGAAGAAAAACAAACATGTAGAATAAGCTGTATATCTACCTTGGCAGGTGTATAGGAAAGGGCCCACTTACAGGGGCTAGAAGCAGCAAAAGAATTGGGGGTGAATATTGTCCTGCTCACCAAAACGAAAATATTGTAGGTCTATTAAGGAAGAAAGCCAAAGTCACCTTTTAGCTCAAGGCCCTTTTGCTCTCCCAACCTCTCCACAGGCAGCCAAATGTGAGGCTTTGGTGTAGTTCTTGTACATTACCCTACTTTCTGAAATAGTAAAATGAAGAATTACGTTTTATGGTGGAAAACTAACTTTATTTTTCTTCCCTTTCCTTGTTTTCCTTTTATAAATTGGGATGTCACGGTTCCTCCAATTCATCTTGTTAGAAAGTAAGTACTTATGAAATTTTAGAACTATTTTGTTGAAACAGTGATGTTTTATTACTTTATATACAATTACAGAATTTTTAATGTTTTAATTCTGGCAGAGGTGATTAACTTTTACATGAACCATCAAAGATTTTTCATTAAACCAGAAATAAGCAACTTTTCATAGGTATTTATGATCTCTGAGAATAGACTCTGTAAGCATATTTACTTCATCTTCTTTTATAGCCATAATTAATCTTTGTGTTTTACATATAGATGTATCAAATGTAGTTGTAATTGGATTTTTCTTCAAATATAATAAAATTATATAAATAAGATTTTAATTTATTCCTACTCAGTAGCAGGTAATTAAGACCATACATTTCTTCAAAAAAAGGAGTACAAGTTTTCTAGACTTTACAGAGTTGATAAGAAAACTAGAAATCAGTAAAAATGGTGGAAGGAAAGAATTTTAAGATGTATTTTCCTATTGTGTCTATTGCATTGGATGAATCAGTTACTTCTTAATACGTATTAAACTCTTTTGGTGATTTTAGAAATTGTTTTTAAATAGCATAGACCAGAATTATGCAATTAATATGCTTGGTACCAAGTGGCTCATCAGTGAGAGAACTGAGTTGTAAAATAGTTGTCTGATTCTTCTAGAATATAAATAGTTCTAAAATAAAACGAATTTCCTGGCTTTATTTTTGCAAGGATTTGGGGAAATTATAATAGTCATTTAGATTTTTGAAGAGGTAGTGTCATAGATTTTGAGTTACATGTTTTCAAACTTTTCCATATTAATCTTGAGTTTACTGAGTTAATAAGCATATAATGTAATAATATATTCATGCCCAATAGAGCTCATTATTTGTATGAATCTGGGTACTTAGCACATATGTTTGCAGTAAGCATGGCATTAAACTGCTATTTAATAGCCAATTTATCTTTTGCAATTATCTTTACCTTAGAAATAAAATGTAAATTTTAGTGGTGTTATGTTTATTCAGTATTTCTAAATTGCCTTTAAATCTTATTGCTCCATAGTGTTCTAAATCTAGGTTCTTAGTGTTGTGTGTAATTTGGAGCTTAGTAATCGAGAGCACAAAGAATTTGGTGAGGTTTCATGTTAGATGGACAATTTTATTAGGCTGCAGTCTACAAAACCTACCTTGTGTCATTTTTAATGTATTGGATTCTATTTTACTTGTCATGTTAACATCGTCTTGCCAAGTCCCTACGGAAAGTCTGTATTTCTGACAGTTTCACTAAATTAAAACTCCAAAAATCTGGCACCATCTTTCCCAGCTTCAAAATTTCCAAAGAGTATAATATAAAAATGTATATTTTGCACGGTTCAGTATAACATGTATTGCATTATTTATCTGGAATTCATTCAGTGAGAGAAATTTCTAGGGAGATGAATATATTTCACTTTATAGGTATGCCTGGGATTACTTAGATATGAGCAAAAATCTTTTGTAAGGGAGAATAATGAAATGAGGTCTGTAATCTTCTAGGAGCTTCAGGAGTAAAAATATTACTTAAGCACACAGCATTAGTACCGTGTATACTTTAGTGCTACAACTGCATTGTTCTGTGACCAGATTTATTTTAGGACTCTTGTTTCTTGTCAGATCCAATGGAATCATATTAATGCATGGGCACAGAGAAGCTGAATCCTAAAATAATAGAGAGTACAGTCTTCCTATTATGATAATACATGTAAACCTTCATGGTCATGATGCATATGCTGACTTACTGTTAAGTATTCTCTGGTAACTCAGCAAATTTGATTTTTTCATTTTACTGAAGCATTTTCATAGTAAGAGACTTGATAATCTTAATTTTTAGCAATTTGAGTTAGTAACATAAAATTTTTACTGCAGAAGTTCAAAGTTTAAAAGTTCGATATTTGAGAAGCCCTCTTGTCTGAGAAAACTTTGGGTTAAGTACCTCTGACTCCAAAGAGGCACATCGTGTATGCAGAGTACTTGTAATCAACCTGTTTTGACCATATATTGGTCTTTTAACACAGTAGGAAATTAAACGTATATGGAAGCATAATTAAATGAAAGCAATAATTATAGCTTAAATACTACCTTGCAAAAAATTAGTTTGCAAGCAAAACACAAATATGATCTAAAATCTACCTCAGGAAGTGCATACATATTATATAATTTGTAAATATCTTGGCAGTTGTAGGAGTACATCTCAGTAATGTTTGCACATATGTGCTTCGAAATTTTAAATCATTAGTTTCATTTCTTTTAAAAAAACTGAATTCATAACTCAGCCACTTGCATCTTTACTGCAGAACGTAATTATTAGCTGGGCGAGATTCCCAAACACATATTTCTTTATTTGACATAACTGAGAAAAGGATGTCACTGTAGAAGCTGTATAAGAGATACGAATACAGATATAGATTGTTATTTGGCCATGTGAGAAATACATTCCTGTGAGTGACTTAAATGCTTGCAATTTCAAATCAGTTCTTCCCTGGTTTCTCATTATTCTTTTGTTGTTTTTCACCCTATGAGATGGAGCTGCCCTTGCACTTGGTTTTATTTATTTTTTTTGATCATTCAAGTGCAACCATCAAGTTTTCTGTAATATTTTAAAACGGAGGTTTCAGAGTGTTATTTTACAAAATAGCACCACATAAAAGTTTGGGCTTTGGTTTCTTTAAAATACAGTGTTGGTTGCTTTATGAATAAAAGAGTAATTTCAATTTAGGAGACTTTTTGCCTGAAGCCTGTAAGACAGATGCATCTGATTAACTTTGGTGGAACCGGCCCGTTATTGTAATGTAGATGTTTTCAGGGTTGGGAGGATATTTTAAAAAGGCATGCAAGAAGGTCTTTTTTTTTTTTTTTTTGCAATTCAGGGAACAGTTTTGCCACAGAAGCTGCATATTAGATTGCTTCATTTTTTGCACACTTTTATTTTCTAGTGGAACCTCTCCATTAGCCTGTCTGAATGCCATGCTTCACACTAACACTCGAATAGGGGATGGATCATTCTTCAAAATCCCTGGAAAGGCGGGCCTCTATGCTCTCAAAGTAAGTTGGTTTGTTCTGAATTTTGTGTATTATTACTATGTAACATGCATTTTTTTCAAACCTAATGAAGGTAAACAAAATCAGATTTGAATGAAGAGTAAAAGATTGACTTAGGCCTTTTAAGTATTTTCATAAGTAATAAAATTATCTCATCCTAGGAATAAACAATGACATATTTCTTTAAGGAAAGCATATCTGTGGTTTCCTGCATAACATATGGTAATGGGTAATAGTTGTGGTTTCCTTAAAATTGTTGATTCTCTAAAATTTATGGGGAAGAGAGTCATGAGTCATGAGCCAGAAGTTTCAGATGGTCGCAGTTGCTGTGCACTCTTTGATTTAATGACCATCAGTTGATGTGCAGGCTTCACACCTGTATGTCTTTCTGTCTTTTGTAAAAGTAAGATATTTATTCCTTATGCTTGAGAACTTCCTGATACAAATCAGGCATCCAATTTGACAATAAATAGTGATCTCAAAGAAGTGTTACTAATAATTCATATTTATTATTTGAGCAAAATACAAGAATAAAACAGAAAGTTTTAATTATTTTAGTGTAATTGCCATTTCCATCTAGAATGAGAAATGCCATCTAAGATGTAAAATTACAGAGGACTAAATCCTTGTGATCTACAAATGATTGTAGAATTCAGAACAAGTAAATTTGGTCCGTTATTTCTCACGAATTAAAAAGGAATCACTTTTTTCATGGTAGGTTATATCTAAAGTCCATTGATTTTTTTTTTTGGAGAATTTTGTTGTTGTTGTTTAAAAGCCCATAAGTTATACCTGGCAAAAAAAGCAGGGATTCTCCCTCAACTATGTGACAATGGGTTCTTGTCACTGTATGTAGTTTTCAGACAAGAACAGGCTTATGAAGATAATGGTTTTTTTCAGTCGCTATTTGTAACTACTTTGTATTTAATTCACAAGTCAAACTTCTGAGTTTCTAATCTATTTTTTACATCTAATCTTTGGAAGTCTACAAAGTTGAAAACCAAGTGGAAGTAGCACGTATCAAAAGAAAATTCATTTCTCTTTCATTTTTTTGGACAGATTCTGAAATTTTGTCCAAAAATCCTAACTATAACTAGAGCTTTAACAGGCTTTTTTTGTTTTCATTGCAAAGAGTGATTTTGACATGAAAAAGGAACTCTATAATCTGTTTTCCAATTCCAAATCACCTACGACTGCAGTAATGTGTTAGGTTCTAAAAGGATTCTCAATGTTTTCTGTTGCTAATACATCTCTGTGAATCATCATTTTAAAAAATAATACAGAAAGAGGAGTCATGCCCCGCGGATGGAACGTTGGATTTAGTCTGTGAATCTGAACCAGATGGCACAGAGATGGCTGAGGCAAACGCCAGTGGAGAGGAGAACGGAGGTAAATGGTGGGGGGGTTCAAAATGCAAACTCTTGACCTTGTAAAAGTCACCTACAACTCCAGCAGTTCACTAGCTGAACACAAGCGGTAAGAGATAAAATTTTCTTCTGTGCTTTTACTCTCTACTAAGATGTATCTTCCATCAATTTTAATTTTAAATTTAAGCGTGTAAGAAGTGTATGCAGTTTTTTTGGCTTTCTTTTTTCACAGTGTCTGTTTTCCTGCATCACTTCTGGAGTGTTACCATTATATTTCCTCTGTAGAGTTAATAGGGTAATTGGAGCTATCTAGTGGTTTTATTCTTTTAGATGGATTAAAAATACATACCAGTGTTTCATTACTTACTAAACTGATACTTCCTGTGATACCAAGTAGTTTTAGAATAGCTTGGTTCCTGTTCTTGTCCTTGTAAATTAAGCTCTGTGTTACCATTCCTTACTGAAAAAAAAAAAAAAAAAGTCCAAATAAGATGCTTTCTTGTTGAACATTGTTGAAAAGGAAATGAACTTCCTTGAATTTTAAGGGGATATTTTCAAGCTGTGAATTCTGTTCCTTGTTTCATTTTTATCACTTTCAAGAAAATTACATTATGATTCTTTTGGTGTACATAATTTAGTATTGCAATTTTGTCCTGCAGAAGCTGCTGTACCTTTTTCCACCCTGCCCACTCATCCCACCATTGGTCCCCAATCATGATTTGGGAGGAAGACAATGTAATTAAAATCTCTGTCAGTAAACTCATAGGAACCAGCAAACTATATTTAAGCAAACAAATTTTAAAGGATCCTTACAGAAATACTGTATTTCAGTAATAACCTCAAGTCATTCTTTTTGCTAATGGCCATCAGAATCCCTTCCCGTGCTCTCCCCATGTTGACCACAGTTCTGACCTTTAGAATTTGTGCTGCAGAAGCAAGCACAGTCCTTCCCTTCAAACTGATACACTTGTTCATAGACCCCATAAGACTGATGCTACTTAATTACTATTTGACCCTCTACGTACAGGGGTTCTATATTTAACATAAAGAAGACTCTTGTTTTAGTAAAATAGCTTCAGACATTTACATTATTTTCAATAACTGTGCTTGACTTGGTAACTTTGTTCCTATCACCATTTATCCCCCCACCCCTCCAGCCCATCCTTGTCACGCTGTTTTACACCTTGGCAACACCTTGGAGTTAGAAAGAAGACAAACCAAAGAGGCACAGCAATTTCTGGCATTCCTGGTGGGGCAGGGACTGGGGTGTCCTGAGATGAAGGAGAACTTTAGCTAATTCACACTGTTACGCTGCCTGCACAAGAAAGCACTCGTGGTGTCTCTCAACATGTGTCGAGATTCTACTCTGTGCTGGAGCGGTTCTCGACCTTGCTTTTCCAGAAGAAAGTAATAGAAACAAACCTGTCTTGGAGACTGTACTCTTTGAGATGACCAATAAGTCAAACAGATGCATAATATTTGTGATTTAGTCATGACAAGTGATACTAGGAAAGTAAAGGAGTAACAGTAGAAGAAAGTAGTATATTCGAAAAAAAATCCTAAGTGGAGTGAAGGAGTATGTATTTAAAGGTAGTTTAGGTACAGAGAACAGTACTTACAAAGGCCTTGAGGCAGGAGAGTGACTGAAATGTTCTAGAATAGCTGGTATTTTAGGGAACTCACAATGATAAAAGGAGGATAGCATGGTAAGATATAAAACTAGATAAGGTATGGGGGCCAGATCATATAATATCTTGCTGTAGGCTTTTTTTTTTTGAGTGATATATTAGGCTGTTACAGGGTTTTGAGCTAGAAAGATAACAATCTCACATTTTAGCTATATTGCCAAGTAGAAACAAACAAGACCCCAAGCAGAGAGCTATTATCATAATCTGAGGGGAAGGTGATGGTTAGTTGAGTGAAAGAAGCAGCAGTGGGTATGATGAAGAGTGATTGGATTCTGGATATATTTGAAGGAAGATTCCATAGTAGTTGCTGACTGATGATTGTATATGTGAGATAAAGGAATTGGGAATGACTACGTAGTTTTGAGTGTGAGCAAGTAGAAAAATAGTATTGTCTTTACTTTAGACGTAACAATTTATTTTGGACATTGAACATGAGATTCCATTTTGACATCCAGGTAGATGTGTTAGTAACTGCATTTATCTGTCCAAAATTCAAAGAAAATTTTAGCTTCGTACATGGTGAGACATACAGGGTCTTACCTAAAATGAAAATGATTAAAGATCTACATATTAAAACAGGAACACCTTAACTGCTGGGAGGTAAAAATAGGTACAACTCTTAAAGGCATAGGCATAGGCAAAGACATTTTGAATGGAAGTCCAGTGGCACACAAAATGATATCAGCAATCAACAAATGGGATCATATCAAAGAAAAGTTTCTGTACAGCAAAGGAAACTGAAGAATGAAGAGGCAACCTACAGAATGGTAAAAATTTTTACCACCTATTCCTTGGACAGGGGCCTGACCAAGCGTTCTGCAGCTCTTTGTTTCTTGTTTATGAGAGGGAATCTTTTTTGTCTGTCTTAAACTACTGTGAAGATAATGATACACAGTGTATTAGCAATTGTTTTTCTCTTATTATTTTGTTATGAAAGTTTGTATGATTTTTCTATAAAATTTTTTTAAAAGTATGTTAGAAAAAAGAAATACAAAGGGAAGACTGGAGATACAGAGTTGAAAATGGTCAGTTTATAGGAGATATTCATAGGCGTGAAACTGGATGAGATCAGCGAGGAACTGAAGGCAAATCACAAAGTAGAGAGGCTCAAAGGCTGAGCTGAGGAGCACTTGACATTCAAGAGGGTGGAGAGGTGGTGGGAAACAGCAAATGAGACTAATGCCAAGGGGACATGAGAACAAGGGTTCTGTCTGGGAAACCAAGTGAAGAAAGTGTTTCGGGAAGGAAATGACTGAAATACATCATTGCTTTTGATGTGTCAGGTTGTGCTGGCTAAGAAATTACTACTGTATTTGCATTGTGAATATGGGTGACCTGGACATTGATGATTTCTGTGAAATGGCAATGCCACATCTGAAAGGGTTGGATTGAAGGGCATGGGTGGGGGGAAATTGGGGATCACAGGTATAGACAATTTTTGAAGTTTTTTTGAGCTAGAGAAAAGGAGTGAAATATAAAAATGGCTGGAAGGAAAGATAGAGTCAAGAGAAAGGTTTTGGTTTTTTAACAATGAAAAATCAGTTATTAGAAAAATTATTCACTGAAAAGAAATTTCCAGCTAAAGAGGACAAATTGACAGTGTGGGAGTGGGGAGGGATGTCGTGGTGTCGTATACCTGATTGGATGAAGAAGAGTGGGAGCTATGCAGATGACTCTGGCCTGAGCGGGAGTGAGGACGGGCCCGGGAGGGAGGCGGGAGGAGACCTCAGCTTATTCCCACAGGTGGAAAAGTGTGTGAGCACATGTGGAGGAAGCGTGTGGAAGCTTGCTTCTTACTCCAGCATTTTCTCTATGAAATAGGAAATAAGTTTATTAGCTGAAATGAGAATGGTGGGTTGTTTGAGGAATTTAAGGAGAAGATATATTTGTCTGAGAGAGGCTGATAGCATTAAAGACACTAAAGGTTATGAATTTTGGACTTAATATGGGGTCAGTAAGCATGGTTGTACAGCCTCTTTCCCCCCAGTTTTGGTCAAGGCTGCTTTCAAGTGCAGTGCGGGTACATAGTTAGATTTCAGTGGGCTTGAGGGTTTTCCAAATGTGACTACTGAAGCAAGAAAAGGACAGAGGGGTAGAGAGTTGAAGATGGGTGTGGAGATAAGTGATGACATGGTCATGTGAGGATGGTGTGATCGTGGAAGTTTCACTGAGATGGAAGGCCTGTTGGAGCTGGTATTCTAGAGAAAATGAGTTCGAAGCAAAGGGATAAGAGAGTGGAATCTGTGACACTGAGCTTAGAGGAACAGAATGGAATGTGTGTGAGAGATGAAAGAAGGAGCTAGGTCTAAGGCAGTCATGAATGGTTAAGCAGTATGTGTACTCTTTAGAGGCCCCTGGAGGAAAAGGCCATAAATTTTGGTAGATAAGTACCATGAAGAGGAGCAGTTGACAGTATAGTCTGATGTCATGAAACACAGTGCTGGTGGCATCTAAAGAGCAGGGAGGGAGAAGAGTCTTAAGGAAGAACAAGAAAAGGCTAGCTCACCTGTCCCATTCCAGGTGCAGTGCTACAAGCCAAGAAAAGACAATGCTTACCACTGGCGAGTGTCCTGGAGATGAGTGTCTGAAGGAGAGAACCAAGTTTTGTAGACCAAAGAGTGAAAGGAGTATTTAGAGAAAATACGGAGGTTTGAGATTTTTCTTAGGACTAATACTGACTTCCAAAGGAGACAGAGGAATAGTTTTAGTCGTTGAGCAGGGGTGGGAGATAGGGTAAGAGCACTCAGCCAGTAATTAAACCAAAGCAGGGATAAGTAAACTCCCCTAATTTGACATGTGAATAGGTACTTCACAGAATAACTCATACCCTCACATATCCAGCTAATGCAACCCAAATTAGATTTCCTGGCCTCTCCTTTGAAGTTGCATTAGAGAAATTGCTTTGGGGAATCACTGAAAGAATAGTAAATAGCGTATTTCCTCGAGTGTTTCCTTGACTTGCCCACTTTTATACCTTATTGCAAACCACAATTGCTTCTTGCAGGACAAGCGAATTTCCTATTCATGTAAGTACCATGTACTTCTGTGTTAACCTATTAACCTAGCCTCAAGATACATTTTCAAACTTAGATATTGAAAATCTATTGAATGTGTATTAGCCTTTAACTCTCTACATCCATATTCTTTGACTGTCACAGTATTTCTATGAAGCACATGATTTTTTAATAGGATCTGTTATTTTATTTTAATTACCAATAGAGAAGCAAACTTAGGTTAAATGTCTCATCCAATTCTCAAGCCTGGGTATGTGGGACACCAAAGACTGGGCTCTAGTCACTCAGATACTGTTCCTGGTACCAGGAGGAACAGTTAT